GGCGCTGACAGCCCCGGGTGCCCCCCTTCCCCTCTCCTTTGCCCAGGTGGCAGCTCTAAGGTTTCACCCTCCCGCAGCTGAGCCAAGGAGCCGCTGGGGAGCCCCTTGGCTGCGAGGGACGTGTATTTAGGTCTCACAGATGCACCCCGAGGTTCCCCGGGCGCTGGGAGCGGGGATCATGCGCAGTGCGGACGCTGGCGGGCGGCAGAGCTGCGGGAGCGAGGACCTGGTGTGAAGCAGAGGATGGAGGGCGGCAGCGCTGGCTCTGCAGTGAGTATCCACAGCTCGAACACGGGAACCACGGCCCCTGGGAATCACTGACTCCTGTGTTTGCACCTTTCCCACCCAGGGGTTTTGTTGGCTGGGAATACCTGCCCGGTTTGCTCGGTTTGGGCTCTGGTGTGTTTGAATCAATGAGGTTTCAGCTGTGTATGGGTTTAACTTTGTTAAGATGTGTTGCTTTTCTGGTGGGATGGATCTGGAAGTTGCACATTACCAAAAAAGCTCAGACTCAGAGGGTCCAGGAGCCCGCTCCTTCTGCAGCTGTAGCACATAAACCAGGGGTGTTTATTGGATTTCTCTGTGTGCTTCAGAGGACTGAGAAAGATCATTTTTTAAAGTGTGGTTGAAACTCTACTATTGAGAGCACGTTCTTTCTGCTTTCCAAAAATGACTTTATGTGCCATTGAGTTAAACTGAATTGTTTCAGTGTAAGGATGAAAGTGAATTTTAACCACACCGCTACAAGTCCCACTTGTAAAGTGCCAAGCTCTTTTCTCCAAGTAACAGCTCGGTCTGCATGGAGAACGTGGTACCAAGAAAATAAAACACAACCAAATACCTGCAGGGGCATGGAAGGAGGGTGGATCCGCACGGGGTCTGTTTCCCCTGCTGGTGATATCCTGGGAATTTCTGCTATAAACCAGGATAATTTCATTTGCTGCTGGAGCCCCTGCTCGGGGAAAGCTTTGCTGGGATGTCTGATCTGAAACCAGCGCGGTGGGGTAACAGTGACGTCCTCCCAGGCTGCTGCCGTGCTCTGGCAGCCCTGCGCTCCAAGCCAATCAGTTTGCACTGAGATCTGTGTCCCGAGCGGGAAGTGCATTTTATGGTGAGGAATCACCAGCAGAAGGTTGGTGTTAACTCCTTTCCTTCCTTTCCCTCTGCTCCCAGGCCAGGAGGGCAGCAGGACACCTCCCAGCCCCATCCACCACCTTCTGGATCATCCTCTCCGTTGCCCTGGTTTTGGCAGTTGTTGGCATCAGCGTCACGGGAGTGCTCGGCTTCTCCCCCAGCTCTGCCCAGGTAAGGGGTCCTGATGTGGGCAGGAGATGTCCCCACGCCCACAGCCCTAATTTGTGTCTGCAGCAGTGTCCATGGGGGAGGAACGGGCTGAGGTTGGGGATGGCGTGGGCCAGTTACCCCATCGCAGGCAGAAGGGCAGGAAGGGGCCGGCAGCGCTGCAGGCAGCGACGATGCTGCAACAGCCCAGGGCTGCTTCAATTAGAGAAGCCTCAGCGCACCACTTGTAAATGCAGCCCAGAGCCGGTGCTGTGCAAGCAGGCGCGTCCCAACACAGGGAGGGACCTGTGGGACCCCAGCACTGGGTCGGGGTGGGAGATGCTGCTCACAGCCACCGCACAGCAATGGTTGGTGCTGCCGCCCTCTCTCTGTGCCCAGGCCGGCTCCCAGCTCGTCCGGCTGACGCCGCAGGGGCAGCAAGAGCCGCTGAGGAACCAGACAGCCCTGGTGGACAGGTCCAGGAACACCGTCACCTACTACGTCACCTCGCAGAGCAACCGCAGCGCCGCGGTGCTGTACGACAGCAGGAACGTGAGTGTGTCGCGATGACTGGGATAACGACCTGTGTCGTTGGAGGAGCCCAGGCTGCTGGGCTGGGAGCAGATGTAGACCAGCAAAAACATCAACCACAGGACAAGTCACACAGCAGCTGTGTGGGGCCTTTCTCTGCGCCTTTAGTTAGGAAGGAGAACGCAGGGCAAAAGGGGAAATGTCCGTTCTGGGGCTGTTCAGACAGCCCCAGGTGCGTGCTGCTGTAACGGGGCATGGTTTATCTCGCAGGGCTATGTGTGCTACAAGCCAGCGGAGCAGCGCGTGTGCTACCTGCGGAGGATGGACGCCTGGGACCAGACCCTACAGATCAACGCGTCCGAGCAGACGGTGAGCAGCTCATTTTTGGGTTTGTGTTGCAGCGGTGGCTCCTGCCCATCAGCATCCCAAGCGTGGCTGAACGAGGGCAGGGGCTCCCACAGCCGGGGGTAGCAGCAGCAGCCCCCAGTTCTGTGCAATTTGGCTTGGGGAGGGCTGGGCTGGAGCCTTGTGCAGGAGCTGGGCTCTGCCTGGCAGTGCTGGGCTGACAGCAGCAGCTCCTGGTTTTACCGATATCTTACCTGGTGAGAAAGGGCAGGGATGCAGCGGGGAAGGGGGTCAAGTCCCGCAGCGGTGAATAGCAGGGCTCTCGCAGGACCCGCTCCCACTGGGTTCTGTTACCTGCTCAGAAATCTGGGCAACAAAACACAAAGGGGGTTTGTTAATGATTCACTGGGAAGAGGTGGAGGAAATCCTGTACGCAGACCCTCTGAACAGAACTGTAATGGATGCGTGGGCAGGGGGCGGATTCTGTTGCAAGGAGACAGAAGGCCCCGTTTTTGTGTGCCCCTGCCATCTGCTCTCCAGTTCCTCGGGGGCTCCTGGGGGCTCCTTGTCCCCAGCTCCCACTCAGCCGGGATGCAACGGGCAGCGTTTAACCCAGAGCAGCGTAGGGATGCAGTACCCACGAGAGAAAATGGGGTGCGAGGAGGAGAAAGCATCTGCCAGGCTGTGGGGCTCCTGCATGGAAGGAAGAGCTGGTGGTGCCAACCATTAAAACCATCGCCCCTTGCCCTGTCACTGCAGGATAAACTAAAAAGCACTAACAGGGACGTTCCTTTCAGGCCAGTCAGCTCCTGCACCACAACAACCAGACCCAGTTCTACCGCGAGTTCCTGGGCATCCTGGCGGGGGAAGAGGTGGACGCCGAGAGCCTGGGGGAGGCCGTCCAGACCCTGTGTGAGCACACCTCCATCTTCTGGGTCCGGAGAGGGGAGGGTAAGTTGAGTTGTGCGTGTCCCTTGGCAGAAGAGGGAAGCACGATTGTCTCTATGCGTTTAAGAGATCTGTTTCTATCCATTTGAGATTCATTTCTATACATCCCTGCTGCACAAAAGCTGCTGCCCGCTTCCCCAGGCAGCGCTGCCTGCTCACAGCACCACAGAGCAGTCCCCTCTGAGGCTGCTGAACACTTCTCACCTTCCTCACCAGCAGAGCTTGCTTCTGTTCTCCTGCTCCAGCTTTAATGAGAAAGGTCATTCCCTGAGGCTTTCCCTCATCTGGCTCCCCAGGGACTGCAGCAGCAGCAGCACAGCAGCAGCCCTCACCCTGCTCTGTCCTCGCTCATTTTCAGGTCCGGGGAAGCAGCGGCTGATCTACCTTTGCATCGACATCTGTTTTCCCAGCAACATTTGTGTCTCTATCTGCTTCTATTACCTCCCCGAGTAAGTCCTGCGGCCGCGGATGCCCTCTCGCTGCCCTACATACTTGAACTGGGTTCCTGGAAAGCCTCTGGTTTCAGCAAGGAAGGTAACAGCCACACCATTCCCCAAAGCTCCCTGCTGATTTCACGCTGCGGTTCAGGGGAGTTTAGAAGAAAAGAACAGGGCTCTGCTCGGTGCAGACACTTGATTTGCAGCCGCGCTCCAGGGCTGCATCGTGTACGTAGGAATTAGCAGATCCTAGAGGAATCACGAGTGTTTCACGGCTCCCTGCCCTGTTATCGCATTTGTTGGGGGTGGTTGGTTTTAGAAGGGTGCAGTCTGTGAAATACACTCTGAATAAAGGGATTGCAAACCAAGAAAACAGCCGCCTTTCCTCTCTCTGCTCAGCCTCTCCCATCACTTAGAAACGCAGATTTATTTCTCTTTTCCTACTTTGGGGTACAAGGACATCTCAAAGCTGCTGCCACAGGGAGTCCTCCAGCTGAACCCCATCCCCTCAGCAGGATGTGCCTCCCTCTGCCCTTCCCTTTTGGCCACGGGGCCTCTCTCAGAGGTCACACACATTTGGGTGAGGATCTGCTCGGAGCTGAACCTGATCTCAGCCCAGGCAGACGCAGCTGCTGCTGCCAGAGCCCCCTCCATGCGGGGAGGGGATGGGCACCGGTGCAAGTCCCGGGCTGCAGTGAGGGAAGGGAAACCACAGAGGTCCTGTCCCTGCCACGCGTGGCCGTCACCCCAGGACGCTGTCGTTGAAAGCCAGGCAGACGACCGCTTTCTGGTGGCCGCTGTATTCCCTCTTGATCTCCCCCGTCTCCACACACCAAAGTCTGGCCAAGTTATCGGAGGAGGCTGGAACAGAAAGGGGAGAGGAGTGGGATACATTGCATTACCCTTTACACCTTATTATTATAAGAGACTTTCCCCTTGCTTCATTCAACGCCGTTATCAGGGCTGTGCAGAGCAAGCAGCTTGCTGCTTTTCTGTGTTATGTGAGGTTTTAACTAGGAGAGAAGTTACTGTGGAAACCACAACCTGTGTGTTCTGAAGGTACTATCACACTACAAGCAGCATTGCTACCAGGTGAAATAACCCTCTCCCAGAGGGATCATCTCTCCAGTTTAAACTGCAGCACAGACTGCACTGGGGGTGCCAGGCTGGGCGCTCTCCCCTCACACATGCAGGGCCACGGGGGTTTGGCAAGGTCCCACTAAACCACGAGGCCCTGTGGTGGTGCAGGGGCCCAGGGCAGGGGTGCAGCAGAGCCTCACCCGTGACGATGTACTGCGAGTCCCCGGAGAAGGCGCAGTCCCACATCCAGCCCCGGGACGTTTCCCCTGGGTTATTGCTCTTAATGCTCAGCTCGGTCATCAGGGCGAAGTTTGAGGTCCTCCAGATCTTGCAGGTCTGATCTGCAGAACACGTAGCCAAAAGCCTGCAAGGGAGAGACACACGAGGACAAACGTCATCAGTGACACTGCACACCTAAGGGCTCTGGTTAATGTGGGCCTGGAACAGCAACGACCTGGAGACCTGCTCTTGCTGTAAGCACATTTCTTTACACCTACACCATCGGCTTTATGAGACTGGAGCTGAACAGACTTGGCGAAGGAGAACGTCACATTCACCACTTTGCTCCCAGAGAGCAGCAACTGGATCCCAGCTGCAGGAACAGCTCACGGCTGCAGAGCCTGACCATGGAGCACGAGGCTGGGACACCACCACCACCCCAGTCCCAGTGCGTCCCCTGCCTCCTGTCCACAGCTGGAGGCACATCTGGTCTCTGCCCACACTCACGTGGAGTCGGGGCTGAACTTGCACTGCAGGGCGTAGCGGTTGTGCGCCGGGATCTTGGTCTTGGGGATCAGCTGCGTCACCTCCTCCCCGATGCCGCCCGTCAGGTTCCAGACGTAGCAGTTTCCCTGTGGCGAGAGGGGGGATCTGTGTTGGGGTGGTGGGGGTCACCCATCCCCGAGCAGCCTGGACTTCCTGCGCCCCCACCATGGCACAGCAAAGTCAGAGCAGCAGAGAGACAGCCATAAACCCACGGCTGAGGCCATCGGAGCTCACCGAGCTGTTGACAGCCGCCATGTAGCTGGCATCGGGGTCGATGTGAACCGAATTGACGGAGACTTCGGGCTCTGGAATCAGCTGCTCGTTGTGGTCGGTCTTCAGGTCCCAGATGTGAATGGCCCCGCTCTGATCACCCACAATCAGCTCTGCCTGCAAGAAAACCGCAGCCTCGTCTCTCTGAGGAGCACCCCGCAAGCTGCAGCCTCCAGGCAGTGCCCGTGCAGCACCACGTGGAGCCTTGCTCTGGTTTTAATCATCAGGGCCCTGTTCTGCCTAATTACTCCCCAGCGTGGGGCTGTTGCAGAGCTGCTGGCCGCCGAGAGCAAGCGGGGCACTCGTCTCGCATTACACTGCAAAAAAAAGGCTGTTTACCTTTCCAGAAGTGTTTGCTAATTTTATAAATGCCAGAGCAGGCAGCAGCTGCCTGATTTCCAGCTACCGCAGCCGCAGAAGCCAAATGATTTTCAGCACGTCTGAGGAGCGGGCATTAAGATGCGAGTTGGCCAGCGAACAACCGAAGCACTCAAGAGTACAGATACCTGCAAACCCAATCCTAAATGGGCTTTTCTCTCTCTCTCTCCCCGTCTCGGGGGAAGGACAAGAGCCAGCTGAAGGGCAGGACTCCTGGCTCCCATCCCGCGCTCAGAGCAGAGGACAATGCTGGCGGCTCTCCACCCAAACCAGGGCTTTTAGCACAGCCCTGAGCTGCCCAGGATTTCAGCAGAATCCCCAGAGGAGCTCAGGTCATCGGGCACGGCTGATCCCAGACCTGTAAGCACAGCTCGTTTCTGGGGAGGACGATCACTGAACCATCTCTCGACAGCTTCAGCAGACCGCACAGCGCGGGGGCGTCTCACGGACGCCTCCAACCTCAGCCCCCTCTCAGCAGCCACGCAAGCGATGGCTGGAGCTGTCACAGCTTCACCCAGGCCCTGAGAAATCCCTCTTGGATAACGGGATCAGCATCGCTGCAGCGGGGAACTGCACAGCCATGAAGCTACGGGAATAAATGGTGCCACCTTCGGAGTAATCAACTGTGCTCTGCTCACAACCCAATGCTTCCACAGCTCAGCAGCATCTTGGTTAGCGATTAGTTCACAAGCAAGATCTATGCACAACAGTATTTGTTTTAACTGGTACGTTCTCACAGCACTGACACTACAGGAGGGTCAGCAGCATCCTGATAAAGCCTGGTCCAAAAACTCAATCTCAAATCTGGTCTGAAATTCCAGACTTGCGAAATGAAACCTTTGCAAAAGCAAAGAGACGTTTCTATTACTCAGCTTTTTAAAAGGTTTGCACTGCCGGGGCTGCAACCAAACCCTGCAGGACTGCGAACACCAAATGGAGCAGACGAGTTATTAACGCTGCAGTGATCCGGATCGATTTCACCGCCGTTCCCTCTACGGCACTGCCCTGTTTCCCCAGCCATCCCTGTTTATCACCAGCTTCTCAACCCACTGGTGAATCTCCAGCAAATTTGACCCAAGTCCTGAAGATAAGGGGGGGCCACAGGCCCAGAGATGCTTTTTTTTGGCAGCGCTGCCACTCTCAATCTTCCCAGCCCAACCCACACCACCAGTTCCTTCCCACCACATCCCCTTGGCTGTGTCCATGGGGTTACAGCCTCTGTTCCTGCACTGACCCAAAGCTCAGTGATGGAGCACCAGGACAGGAGGCCTGGGTGTGCGAAGGTGGCTGCTGCTCGTCCAGCAATGCCACCAAGAGCTCATGTGTCTGTGTCACCCATCCCTGCCAGCCCCCAGGTCTTTTGCTGCATCCGCCAGTATAAACCACTGCAACCGCTCAGGTTTACCTGGAGGAGCCTTAGCAAAGCAGGAGCCGGTGCTCACCTGGTTGGGGTGCAGGCAGACGCAGTTGATGGGAGCGTTCACCTGGAAAATCCGCTGACACTGGAGGTTACGAGACCTGCAACAAAACAGGGAGGAAGGAGCGGGTTTAGGAGCGGGCAGGCAGCCCTCCTGCCCCCGTGGTGCTGCCGGAGGGAGGGAACCGTGGCCGCTGCCCACCTCAGGTCCCAGATCCGGGCCATGCAGTCCTCCCCACCCGTGTACATCCAGCGGCCGTCCTCGTGGAAGCCCACCGAGGTGATGTTCTTGCTGACGCCGTCGTAGTTGATGACGGGGTTGGGGTTGTTGGAGTTGAGGTCGTACATGCGGATGTGCTGGTAGCCTGCGGTGACCACCGGGCAGACGGTGACCGACGCGTCCCCACCCGTGCCCGGTGTCACCCGGGGCCAGGAGGGGGGGGCTCACCT